AAGACGTACCGCCACTACCAACTATGCCACCGGCTTCCGGCTCTACGAATACTGGGAAGCCAGCGGTTGGCGACAGACACAGGTCGACTAGCTTTGAGGGGCCTGCGGTGGTGTCGATGTCGAGCCCATACACGAGTGTGGGAGCATCTCGGGGTCTTTCTGGTGGCTATGATGCCACGGGTCAATATCGTCGGTCCACGAGCGACATGAAATCGGCAGACCGTCGGGCGTCTACGTTGTCAATGTCTAAGCCTCTCCCCCCGGCGCCACCTGAGCTGTCGCTCGCTGACGATCCAGTCTCGCAATTGAACTCTCAACTCAAGAGTCTGGCTCACCGCCGCGTCAATATTGAGAAGAGCATCAAACAGATGACGGAGCTTATGCCCCAAGACAACTTGTTGGCTAGCGATCAGGTTCTGCGCAGGCGAGAAGAGGAGAAGCAAAAGGTTGAGGGACTCCGGGAGGAATTGGCCGTGATCCAGAGTCAAGAGCATGAACTAGGCCTTCGATTATTCCGTGCTTACAAGCGCCAAGACAAGAACGCTGAATATGAGCCTACAACGCTATGGGTGCGAAGAGTGGCTGGATGAGCATGGACGCATCATTTTCCCTGAATGTGAGATGAGTGGTCTTTGTATTGCACCACCAGCATTGTGGTTATGCTGAGAGCTGTATTTTTTCTTAGTTTTGAGCTGACCCATGCCAAAACTTTCATTTGTATTGTATGATGTATTCTACGACGACGTTGTTGCTGATGACTCAATGATTTTAAGTAGCTGAGTGTGATATCCTGCTTCTTTGGGTGGTTAGAAGCGTGTTTCTGAAAGCTCCTTTCAACTACTAGCCATGTCATCGCTTGCGGTTAGATGGTAGCTGATTGAATTGTATAACCGACATTTGGCTGGCGATGTTCCTTGTGTATATATGTGACCCTAGGCAACGAAGTCTAGGATCAGGGAATGTTGCGCACTGATGGAGCCCAATGCCGGCACATGATTAATAGTCTGGGATAAGACAGTGAACTTGAGAGCACTTCAATGTTGGCATTGATTCGAACTACAAGATGCTTGCAAGGGGCACATGGACGGATGAGTCTAGGACGGGGCGTAGCTTCTCAGATTGCGCTTTTTTACTTGCGCACCGTACGCGTCTAGTCTATTCCAACGCGTTAGACGTAGTAGCGGTATTGAATGAAAAAATTTCGGCTGTGTCATTGCCTATGTGCTGTGCGGCGATTGTGTCTTGGTTGGTTGGTTGTGTAGACGTTCAGTCTGTGATTCACTTCAATGTTTGTTCTTACAATGACTCCTGGAGCCTGTGCAGAAAATCTTCAATTCCTAGCGTAATGCAGCTTTCCTATTTGCCAGAAGGCATATTTTGCATGTGGTATTCTTAGACATTGGCAATGTGTCAAAGAGGCTTCTTGCATGTTGGTATATGCTACGTGCTCATGGCAAAGCTCCGACAGCCAAGTTTTGGAGTTGACTCGTACATGTATACCGATATTATCTCAGCCGTTATGCGTGATTGATTGGTACTTAATGTTTATTGCTATACCTGATATTTGCTCTGAGCTCGTGCCCCCGCTGCTGTAGGTGACAGATTATGAATTATCTGCTCTGACGGCCTTTTTATATGGCTTTTGGCTTTTGGCAAGCCACAATATTACAGAGAACAAGTCATGAATTATATAAATTAGGACTAACAAGTAGGGTGGGATTTAGCCGAGGCCACGAGTTTACTATGTGTTGCCGGGCATGGTTGACGCCTATGTCAGGGGAGAACAATCCAAGATGTTTCTTGTTTCCTAATTCATTCAACCTCAATCTTCCAAAGGTATTGAATTACAGCTACAGTGGCCAATTAGCTTCCAACCGCGTCTGTTCCATTGGCGAATAGTCACCGCAACAGCCGCGAGGCAGAGCACCGCCGACTTTGGGGGAGTATCCAAGGCAGCAACGTCTAGAATGAAACTCGCCCAAATCTTTATACTAGTCCTCTCGCTCATGTCGACTTCGAGGGAACATGATTGCTACTGACCGAACGGAATGGAAGCAACTCATCTGTGTCCATACGGCCGAGGGCCAGGCATGTAACCTCAGGTGCTGCTACGAAAGCCACTCTTGTCTACTTTATCGAACGGCCTTTGCTACGGGCCGCACAGCATGGCCATACACCGGGCCGGCTGTCCGGACAAGAACTCTAGGTCGATAGTCGTGCACGAATTACTGCCACAAAGGCAGCAGTAGCAGTGAATCGTTTGGTATGACAACGAGCACGTTGCGGCCCGAGGAGTAAAGAAGACTCGGGCAGATACGAGCCACCTCGCAGCAGGCAAACAGCACTCAAGCGTGTGGGCATGTGGCAAAAGCAGATTCACCTGTCATTTGTCCCTTTGCAGCATCGGGAACTTCATAGTTCCCGGGGGGGGGGACAAAACTCGTCGACAATGCCGCGCTGCGAAACGACGTTGCAGCGCTGACGACTGCGACGAGCGTGCCATGGAAACGGTGCAGAGGGACTGTACCTATCGCAGCCTCCGTCACGTTGGCATCGGAGTTGGTGTTTGGCTGGCGTGCGCAACGGCGGCCTTTGCGGCGTTGTTCGTGCGAGAGAGGAGGAAGGGAAACCTGCAACTCTCCCGAGAGTCGCAGTATGATTCTACGACTCTGGGGAATTGGTCAACGACGCAGTTGACTCGGCTTACTGCTGCGTGAAGGGCTGCAACAGAGCCTCTGAGGAGTGAGGTGATGGGTACTCAGGAGTCAAGAGACACGAACTGGGCGGTTAAGTCAATATACATAGCTTGAGGGCGTAATACAGTTATATTAATATTTTTTTTCCTCCAGGGGAGCTAATGCCTTACATTTAAATTAAGGGAGGCCTCAATGCTGGCAGAAATCAAGATATATTTGGAATGTTTTGCGTATTTTGGATGCTGCGTTTCCTGCAACACTGCGTGTGGCATCGACACATGGTGCATGATGACGACGGAGTCTCTTTAGTTGATCGCTGCGACTTGGCGGATCACACCCCCCCCAATACCCCAATACCTTACTGCTCTAATTGATCGTCATTGTTGTTAGGGTTAGACATGGTAAAAGGAGGGATTGACCTTCTCACCCATGTCATGTCAATGAGACCTCTGCTGGCATCCATGCGGGAGATCAGAATGGGGAAACTTGTTTATTTTCCGGAACGCGAGCGAGGAACTTCATGTCATGTTCTGACTCTGCAACGTTCTTGATCAAGAGTCATTGGACTTGAACTGCGCCATCCTGCTCGTCTTGGTAGCGCAGTGACAGGGCTGCTTCAAACAGCAGCTGCCATGGCCATGGCCATCTCCTCGAGACTGGCCTGTTTCTTCTGCTGGGCCGCATGGTTTTTGTCGAGATAAATGGGCCAGACTGAGACTTGGTAGACCGTAGACACCCGGATGCTCATGGGATTGTATTCACTATTCAGCTCAAGCCGTTTCACAACCAGCGTGTTTCGGCGCCAGATGGGTAGAATTCGTGTCAGCGGGACCTATGGCATATGATGGATGAGTAGCTCAGCCAAGACGAAGCTAAAACCCCATCACCATTGGCCCTTTGTCAGAGAAATGCCCGGAAAACAAGCACAGTTCAAGTTTTGGCAACATCCAGATTGTCGATGTAGTATCCCGAGACACTGCGTTGAACCGCAGCACAACTACAGCGGAATAAGGCCCAAGAAAGTATTGGTGAATAGATATCGTCAGATTTTCCATCCTGTGAGTTGGCACATTACCCAGATAAGCGTCTGTCTCATTGATGGTGTGGTGTATGTATGCAGGCCGTATGCAGACCGTCCTCATCATCCGCAAACTATGAAAAGGCCTCGCGCTCGCCGTTAGTGTCGGCATTATCTCGTTGCCTCTCCCACGGCGCGTCAGCAGATGCTAGCTCCCAGGGAAACCCCGGATTTCTATTTCCAGGACGACTCGGACCAAGTCGAGCTCCATGTTGAGCTCGATGTTGGACTGGTCATTGAGCTCGTGGCATCAAACGGCGAAGAACTGGGTCCGTGTCAGCTCTTACTCAATACAAAACATGACATGAGCTTAAGTGTAAAATATGCCGAGCTAGTAGTTGACGAACGATCTGGGCAATTGTCTTGGCTTTTCGTGGAATTCGCGCGGGATCCGGCCGAGATGCCACGAGGGAACAACCAAGCGGGGAGACGAAACGGGCATTCAATGTCGCCAAGAGCAAGGAACAATCATGGAAACTTGTCAAGACACCAGCGCGGCCGTGGCTTGCCTTCCATCTCATGCGCCGAGGTGCGTCGTGGTGGCAGGGTTTGACGTGTTTCAAGTCGAGCGACTCAGACAAGAGCTGAAACCCAGATTCGAGTTTCGCGGCTTCATCACGACGAGGTTCGGAGGCCCTTTTCGGCACAGCCTTACGTCTCAACTCCACCCGATGAACATGCTTGGATATGACTCGTCCTTTTGCCGTTTCGGGGTGGCATCTCGAGCCTGTCTGTACGGGTCTCGCGGCTCAGTTGGCTCACGATGAGAGCGCGCCGGCGGACCAAGACAAGAGGAAGAGGAAGAGGGCAAGCAGGTGGCTTCGCCCAAGCACCATAATCTGCGCGAGACGACGCAGCTGAAACCAGACTTCAGACCATCCAAGCTTTCTGTGCGACACGCCAGCGGCATGGCGCTGCCGAGCCTTGAACGCCCATCACTGATCAGAGACCCTTTGCCAGGATGAGGATGCCAATCTCTTCCTCTGCATAGTTTCGCTAACACGGTGGATCTTGTTTCGGTTGAAAATGATCCGTCGTCCAGACCGTCACAGAGTAACAGGCTTGATGTACGAGAGAAATACAAATATAAAAGAGTCGTCGCATCAAGACTCCAATGTTGAAAGGATCCTTATAACAACCACAATTAGCAACTCAACAAATACTCTCCATTCTCACAGCCTCTATTTTTTTTCTTTCTACAACCAACTACTCTTTAATCCAACAATATGAAGGTCTCATCTGCTTTCGTCCTCACTCTCCTCACCGGCGCGCTGGCCGCGCCATCCATCGTTCCCGACCCCGACTTCGAGAAGCGCGACGTTGACGCCGCAGCTAGAGAGTTTCATGACTCGGTAATCGCGGATGCTGTTAAAGCTAGAAAAGTCGATACCACCGTCACCCTCGACCAGCGTGATGAGGACGTCGAGATGGTGGCACGAGCGCCCGGAAACGCCCAGGCCGCCAACAAGCAGGCGGCCAACAAGCAGGCCGCCAACAAGCAGGCGGCCAACAAGCAGGCCGCCAACAAGGCAGGACAGAAGGCCGGACAGAAGGCCGGACAGAAGGCAGGACAGAAGGCAGGACAGAAGGCAGGACAGAAGAATAATGGCGCCAACAACGCAAAGCAGGACGCCGCGAGCGAGTCGGCCGAGGCCGCCAAGCCAAGAGTGACGAGCTCCTTCGACGCCCCCGGTGTCGTCCTCTAGATGCCATAATTAGATTTTAATACATGCTGGGCATTATTAAATTTCGGTCCTTTTTTCGTTCGCATAGCTTCGTGGTTGATCAACATGTCAGGACAACTCGGCGCCTCGAACCCCTGTTTATCAAGAGGCTGTTGAAAGAGAAAATCATGTGCTGGTGAAGTACTCTGTATAATGACTATGACAAGATTTCAGATTGTAAAGCTTCGCAAGCAACCGTACTTGCCGAATGGTATGGCCGTGGGTCAGTATCATGACGAGGATGGCAAGCCGCGAGTCTTCCAATGCCGGCACAACAGAAATGCGTCACTGATAACCCTTTCAGAATTCTGGAACTTTCGGATCTCGCTTCTCTTATACAAACCGAGCCTAACTAACGCATAATACGTCAGAGTCTGTAGTCGCAGCAACTCTCGCGGCGTGATGATGCCTTCCCAGAATCACATCAAGATATGTGTTGCCCTGACGCTTACACAAATCACCCTGCTTTTGGTACAGAATATATGGAGTTGCTCGTTGCGGAATCGAACATGGGTGTGGTTACAATACCGCCAGGTCTTAAAGCCAAGCACATGGTTCATGATGCCCGTCGACTTGCATGGTTCCACAAAAGTCGATCAATGCTCCATGTTGGCAATGAGTTCCGGGACAAAACTTTGCTCACAGGCAAGAAGATCTAGGAAGATGGTCAAAAGCTAGAGTCTCTTCGAAGAGGGCAATGTATTGTGTTGTGGTCGATTGGAGTGACTGAGATTTGCATACTGTCCTGCCCAAGTCGGAGGTCATGAGGAGAAACCTCAAAGACGTCGTACTGCTCGAATATTCTCCAAAAGCCCGATATACATGTATTTGTGACACGCTCTTGCAATTGCCGGAGAATTGTGGAAAACTCGGGTTGGCACCCGCAGTTGGAAACTCCTAGTAGCATGGGACGTTTGATGATTGATCCATTGCATCACGAACACGGCTGCAATTCATCCAATGGACTGTTCATGTGCTGGAGCTATACACCCGTTTGTTCCCTACGCAGACACAATATGTGGAGTGTGCTTGAAAGTACTCCGTAACATGAAAGAAATTATGTAAAGATGTGAATGGACCACGGAGTACTTATTTCTTTCTTCATACTTAGGTGGTGCCGATGAAAGGCGCGTCACGTGCCGCGCGTCACGGGCCATAATTTAATGGGTTTGCGCGTTCGGTCGCGTATCACGCGTACCAACGCGCCCGTCCGTCTTCACGCCTCTTGTGGCGCGGCTGCGCAAGGGCAGGTATGGGTACGACCTCCCATGCTTCTTAATTGCCCTGGCTACCGCTGGTCTGCGCTCCCCTTCGACTTCCCATCTTCCCGTTTTCCAAATTCCAACATTTCGGCAAGGACAACCGCTCTTCAATTGCACCGCATAGCCATAATTTGGAAGGCACTGTCCATCACAATGCCTCGCTCTGCTTTGGGAAAGAGGGATCGCAACGATGGGGATTCTGGTGAGTGAAGGAGACGCCATGCGAAGGTGAATCCTCTACATCATTGACTGAGGCTGACTGAATGAGCAATAGTCGTTGTTGCAACTCCCACCAAGAGACTCAGACACCACGACGCATATGCCCTCTACAAGGATGACGAGGAGAACCAGGACCCTCAAAGCACTCCCGATGTCCACGACACCATCAAGATCGAGGTGGAAGTGGTCGAGGATGCTCCTCGGAAGAGACAGAGATCTGAATCCATCAAAAAGAACCCAGTCACACCATCGACTCCACGACATCGAGATGTGCTATCAGCCTATCCTACCACTCCTCGACATGCGGTCATGTCGGCGGGAAAACTTTTTAAACGTCTGACTCCAAACTCGCCTTTGTCCCCGTCCACCATCCAGACCATCTACCACTCTGCACGGCAACTCTTTAGCCGTGGGGCAGAACCAGGACAGCTCATCGGAAGAGAATCTGAGCGAATGGAGCTAATCAAGTTCCTCAACCGCTGCAGCTCGTCAACACCAAGCGGCTGTCTCTACGTTAGCGGTGCACCCGGAACCGGCAAGAGCGCTATGATCACAGAAATGACTCGGGGCTTCTCCGACAAAGAAGGTACCAAGAGTGTATACATCAACTGCATGAGCATCAAGTCCTCCAAAGACCTGTACACCACCTTGCTCAACGAGCTCGGAGAAGACACCAACATCTCATCAGAGACTGAAGCTATTTCAGCACTCCAGCTGGAATTTTGCCCCAAAACCAAGTCATCCTCAGTTTACCTAATCATCCTGGACGAAATCGATCACATCATGACTATGGGCCTTGAGAGCCTTTACCGGGTATTTGAGTGGTCTCTTCAAAAATCATCCCGTCTGACCCTGATCGGCATCGCAAACGCTCTGGATTTGACCGATCGCTTCCTGCCACGACTGAAGTCGAAGAATCTGAAGCCAGATCTACTGCCGTTCCTGCCATACACGGCCGCCCAGGTTAAGAATATCATCACCACAAGGCTCAAGTCTCTCATGCCTGAGGGTGGCAAGGAAGGTTACGTCCCCTTTATTCACCCAGCCGCCATTGAGCTGTGCTCTCGAAAAGTCGCCAGCCAGACTGGAGATCTTCGAAAGGCCTTTGAAATATGTCGCCGTGCACTGGACTTGATCGAAACCGAGACCAGATCGAAACATGAGCAAGAGGCTCGAGAGAAGCTACTGCAGATGACACCGTCCAAGCGACCCTTGGGCGAAAATGTGAATGGGGCTGCGGGAGTTGGATCGGCGGCGAGGAGTGTTCTGCAAATCATGGCCAGCTCTCTCAAGAGCTTGACGGCAGAGACTGCGCCTCGGGCGTCGATAGGACATCTCAACAAGGTCACCGCTGCAGCCTTTAGCAACGGCACAACTCAACGGCTCAAGACACTGAATCTCCAACAAAAGGTTGCTCTCTGTGCTCTGACAGCGTACGAAAATAGGAGTCGAGCGTTGATGAGGGCGTCCAACACGCCTGCCACCCCGTCCAAGTCTCAGTCATCGGCGCCGACAATCAAGATTCTCTTTGACACATATTGTCAGTTGTGCACCCGAGACTCCTTGCTGCACCCACTGTCAAGTTCAGAATTCCGAGAGGTTGTTGGCAGCTTGGAGACGTTGGGCCTCGTTGCTGCTGTGGATGGCAAGAATGGCAGCTTCAATATGGCACAGACACCTAGCAAGCGTGGACGGAAGTCGACTGTTGGCAGCGAAGGCGAGAAGCGTATCGCTAGCTGCGTAGGAGAGAAAGAAATCCAGTCGGTGGCCGATGGACCAGCCGCTGGCATCTTGAGGAGTATTTTGTCAGGTGAGGCATTGGACTGAGGTGTAGACTGACGGGGACTCGGCCGTCTTGGAGTATAAAGGCACTGTTTGCATGAGTAGGGTGTTGCATTTTGGGCGGATTTGGCGCTGGATTGTATACATGGCATGAGTTTAGCACAGGCGTACGTGGTGTGAGGAGCACTAGATGATGGAAAGCATTCATGGCATTAATGGCATTAATGGCGCAGGTTATGTGTTTTGTACAATTTTGTGGTTGGCTAGCATAGGACGATACCCAACACGAGTAAAGAAATACACTGAGGCTGTAACACTTCTTTTTGCTACGCAGATGTGAAAGTCGAGCTTGACCACTACAGCTACGGGAACTGATTCTATGGAATTATCTGGTGACAATAGAGAGAGATGAAGAGCTCACACCACCAGGAGATTTCTCCACTTTTAGTGGTACAGTTGGCAGGTGCCATGTCCCCCCAGCATGTCATCACAGAGGTGTGGACGATGATGGAGCATCGGTGGCTTGAGAGCTGACAGAAAGGCAAAGATTGAAGTGAATCAAGCTTTTCTTGGCTTCCCCACGGGTCTTCAAACGACCCAACCAGGACATTTGGGTTGTTCTGAGGGTACAAGAGTATATGTATATATACCTACTTAAGTACTGTAGGTATGTACGTGCACGAGGGATGAGACGGAGGCGTACGGAGTACAGAGAGCATTCGTGCCTCGATATGTGCCTCTAGGTACCTAGGTACTTAAGGTACATACATGTATGTACGCACAGAAACGTACCTGTGTTCTAAAGTTGGTTGGTTGCGCGCCACACGAGAAGCTATGACGACCGATGCAGAAAACGTGACGTTGAACCAGCCCACTATAGAATTCTAGAAGATGCAGCATCGCCAATCTTGACAAGAAAATACAAGATGGAAAAGGAGGGGGAGGAGGAAAGACTGGCGACAAAGAAACATACATGTGCACGCGCGGGCAACACCCCAAGTCGGGCATGACAATGGCGACTTGGTCTGGCCTGCATCGCTCGACCATCGCTTTGCGTTTGGGAATTTGTAGTCCGTACGGAGTACTAGTCCTGCAGCAATTGTTTGTGAAGCAAACCGTTTTTTGGTTCCACGGGCAAAGGTCAGTCTCTCCCGATGTGTCTCAGACAAAGAAAAGTGACGTGTCAACTGGCAGAGTCATGGACCTTGGTCCCAGCTTTCCGACATGGGAGCTGGCAGAGCTCCAGCACGAAGCACAAGGCCAAGCATCAAGCAGTATGTACCTAGGTGCCTAGGTACTTTAAGTAGTTGGAGTGTTGATTGCTCAGAACATGCCGCTGCCTTTGTTTTTTCCTTCTTCCTTTCTTCTGGTGTCGGGCATGGCGTAACCCCCCTATCGGATGGAGGATGAGAGGGTGTGGTACATTCTGTTCCATTTGATCCGTTTTTGCAGACTCTGCCACTGCGATGCCACGGTTATGCCACCATGATGGCAGAGTCGTCCCGCTAAAGCACGTGGGGGCTCTCTGGGCGGGTGAAGATTGTCGAAAGGTGGTGTGCAGCCGATTACTCCGTAATCATTGCTCTTGCCCCCCCCCCCTTTTTTTTTTTAATCTGGCTGTGGTTTGATTTTTAGGGCTGGTGGTATTCGGCGAGTTGTCCGGCTGGCGCATGAGCGAGGAATCGGCACGGGCTGGATGCTGGATGCTGGATGCCCGAC